TACATTCTAGTACTTACCAAGGAACTAGGTATTGCAAAACTTTCTTTCTGAAAGATCTTAAGCAAAACAGAAAAATGATGCAAATTATTTACCAACAGCAAGGTTGTTTGTTTATATGGTCACTCTACCCTTATGAAATAATAAGACAGAAAGTCTTACCGACTGAAAGCAGTGTGTTTGTGTTAACAGAATCCAAACGCTGTAACACTGCTATAAAACAGATTAAAGTAAACACTGATAGCATAGAACGTCCTGCCATAAAGGATTACTACTGCTGAAAAATGCAGTAAAGCATTCCGTTCACCCAAAATGCAGAAGATGACTGCAATGAATGAACAGATGAAAAAAAGGGTGTTGTTCCTGTACCTTTAATAGTTGTGTGGAAGAGAAAAATCTAGCAGAAATAGCTAGCTTTAAAAGCTGCACCTGCTGGAATTTTTTGTTGGGAAGAGCATCGCATGCTGCCTGTTTGGCTGGGAGGGAACTTTCTAGGCTGAGGTGACTGTGAGTCTGTCTAGCACTAACTAATAATTTCCTCCTGCCTCTGAATTCAAAGACAGCTTGCATCTCTGAGCTCTTTCCTTCTCACTTAAAAGTCAGTTGAAAATAGTGAGTCTGTTGAAGTCTTCTGCTGAAAGCAGTCATTGTATGTTTGCTATTTGATCTGTTTAATTGTAAGCAATTAAATTTAAATGTTTTCTCCTATTAATATCTCAGAATGAATTATTGAAACTGCAAGTGCCAGCTAATGAGAACTTTGTGGGAGCTTGAAGTTATTCTGCTCTGTAAATCCCTGTACTTCTACTGTACAGCACAAGGAATTTCACTAAAAATTCAAAACTCTGCAACTTCCCAGCAACTATTAAAGGTATAGGAACTTTTCATATTTTTCATTAGGCCACCTTATTGATGCATCTTAGAGGTTAAATAGCCACCTTTCATATGCAATGGCCTACTATTTTTAATGAACAACATAGTTGAATGTGGTGGGGAAAAGACCTACATCTTCCCCTCTCTATGACCTGGCTAAATTCTTGTGTTGCTCCTTTAAGAAATCAGAATGTCATCCAGAAAACTGGAGCCCATGTGAGGAAATGAAAGAAAATCCCAAAATTCCTGTGTCAGAAGCAGGAATGCCAGGCTGGACCTGCATAATCTCCTGCGTGGCTAAAATAATCTCAGGGCCTGGACGAATCAGTAGCCAGAAACAATTTTCAGTTTAGCTGCACTTGTTTCTTTTCTTTCAGTCCCAATTGTTCTGCTCTCTCTTTCCCCTTGATATGAAATAACAAAATAGTGTTTGCAAGAAGTGAGCCCATGCTATTGTTCTCACATACCTCACTGTCCATTAGGGGAGAGGGGGGCACAGCATGTTTTTTGGCTCCACTATGAGCTGCCCCATGTTTCAGAGAGCTGCTGGTTCCTTGTGCAGTTGACAGATTTCTAATTACAACGTTTTGCAAATTGCATTGCATGTGTGGGGCAAACCTTTTTAGCACATGGAAGGATGTATGTCTAGGCAGTGGGGAAGCAAAATGGTACATGCATGAGGAAATGAATTCATAAGTAAAGCTCATGTGCTGGTAGGAAACTAAGTTAAGGAAACTGAAATAAAAAACCAAAGAAAAGCACACACAAATTTTGTTAAAGATACTGGGTTTGACTGGAGCATTAAAGCATAACTAATAAGTGCTACATTGTAGGAGAGACCAGATCTTTTTATATTGAGAGAATTTACAATTTTACATTCATCGCTTGAAAAAATTGTGTCAGAATTGTTAACAGATTCCAATTAAATAATTTTTTGTTTCACCTGGCCTATTTGTTGTTTTTGATCCAGTTTTGCTTACACATTTGTTTATATAACCAGAAGTGAAATGTACAGAATAGTTTAAATATTCAGCAATAACATACGGTAACCAAAAAGTCTTGGTTACATCCTGTTTGGATTACCATAATGCCTTCTACAGGGGGCTGCCTTTGAAGACTCTTTGGGAAATATCAGCTGGTCCGAAATAGTATGACTACATGCCAGAGTACAAGAAGCATGTAACTCACATTCTATAATGACTGCACTGTCTACATGTCTACTTCTGGGTATCACCAGATATCACCTTCTCCAGTTCCCTGGGCTGGAATGCATGTTTCTAAAAGCAGGAGCCCAGGACAGAATAGGAATTATGTTGGTGTACCACCCACCAACAGCCTCCCTTCCTGAGCTAAACGAGCTGGTCTTGAGGGTGCTGTTGGAGTCCCCTCAACTGGTTGTACAACATTGGTTTATGCTCTGATAGTCTAAAAAATTGACTACTGCAATACATGCTATGTGGGGCTTCCCTTGAACATGTTATGAAAGCTTTAGGAGGTCCAGAATGTGGTGACTAGATTGGTCCCTGTGTTGAGGAAGTTCAACCATATCACCCCAACTCTGGTTTGCCTGCATTGGTTACTGGCCCACTTCTGCGCCAGGTTTAAGGTTTTGATTCTAATGTCCAAAGCCCTAAACTGTTTGGGACCTTGGTGCTTGCCTGAACATCTTCTGCCAAGTTTGGCTGCTTGACTCAGTCCTCAAAGACCTCATGCCTGGAGGTGTTGAAACCCCAAGAAGCCCAGAAAACGACAACTAGAAACCAGACTTTCTCAGTTGTGGGACACTTTTTGTGGAATGCTCTCCTGCAGGAGGTATGGCAGTTGCCCTCCCTTCACACATTCAAAAAGCGTTTAAAAACTGAGATGTTCAGAGATGCTTTTAGGCAGGTTCTTCCCAAGTAGCTGGGACAGTACATAAAGGAGGAGGAAAATATTGTAATTTGTGATTTGTAATGTTTAGCGCTGCCTGTCTTCTTGTTTTTTTTATTTGTGGTATTATCTAGTGTTTATATTAATTATATGATTTATATTTTTGCTGTACACCACCCAGAGTAGCAATTGGCTAGATGTGTGGTATATAAATTGAATGAATGAATGAATGATAATCTAGGCTCAGGTATCTGAAAAAGTTCTATTGTAAAAGCTTGTCCAGGCATTCAGATCTGCAGGAAGGACCCTTCTCTTGATTCTACCATCCTTGGAGGGAAGGTGAAGACATGAGATAGAGTGTCTGCATGGTGGCTACTCTCAGACATTGAAACTCCTTGCAAAGAGTTGTTGTTGTTATACTTGTATTTTCCCATACTATAGCGGTCCCTCACACACTTATCAGAATCACACAATGCTGCCTCTGAATCAAGCACTGGTTGTCTTTTTCTCTTTACCCCATCTATTCATCCTTCAGTGAGACCTTAAACATTCTTTTTTTGTTTCAAGTGTCATAGAATTTTTTTCCAATTTTGGTTTTCAATTTTTTCTTTCCTATGCAAAGGAAAAACAAACAACCACTAGTTGTTAATGGCCACTGTAACTCATCTGTTTATATTTAGGTTTTCACATAATTGACAGTATGCACTGCATTTCATCACTCTCTGACAACCTTATCATTCTCGCCCTCCCAACTCTGGGTAGATTGGCTTGCTAACTTCAAAAAGACTTCTGATGGTGGGCTGAAAGCTCATGAAAGCTTATGCCATGATAAATGTTTCAGCCTTCAGGGCGCCAAACACTGTTGTTATCCCTGGCATGTTATTTATTCATGCAACTTCAAGCTATATTTGTGTCATCACAGTTCAACCTACTTTCAGTAGTTCCCTACTGGCATAAATATAAGTAGAGAAATGGCTGTAATGGTGTGTTAAAGAAATCCCATAGGCGCTTCACCATCTGAAGAAGTAGACAACAGTGGTCTGTGGGCTGCGGGTTGACCATACTTGTTTTTTTCCACACACACACACCTCATCCCTGTCCTCACCACCACCTTCTCCATAGCCAAATGTGATGCTTTCTTCTCATCCGGGATGGATGGCCATCATGACTGCTCAGAATGTGCTGCCACACCAGCAAGCACCACCAAAAAAGTCCTATGTTTTCCTTTAACATCAAGAGTATCTGCCTTATTTTAAAAGACTCTTTTCCCCAGAAGCCTTACATACATCTTTGTTTTAAAGAAAAATACCACTTCCTTCCCCCAGGACGCTGCTGAAATTTGGCAGCATGCTCTAAAGCACTGGTTCTTAACCTTGGGTTACTCAGGAGTTTTGGACTGCAACTCCCAGAAGCCTTCACCACCACCTCCGCTGGCCAGGATTTCTGGGAGTCGAAGTCCAAGAACATCAGGAGGCCCAAGGTTGGGGACCACTGCTCTAAAGCACTGGTTCTTCACCTTGGGTTACTCAGGAGTTTTGGACTGCAACTCCCAGAAGCCTTACCAACCAGCTGTCCTGACTGGGGTTTCTGGGAGTTGCAGTTCAAAAGCATCCGAGTAACAAAGATTAAGAACCACTGCTCTAAAGTGCAGGGCTCCCCCAGTCAGTTCAAAGGGAAGCCATTATGCTTTCATTGCCTGCAAGGTGCTCATCCCTGCTCTAAAACTTCCAAACCAAGAAGGTATATAGATGCAGTTGTTGTTGTTGTCATTTTTACTGCTGTTTACACAATCCCTGCCAATTGTCTATGCTGTTTAGAGAGTTGTAGGCCTCAAACATCTGGAGGGTATTGCTGGCTGGCACTGTAATCTGTGAGTCTTTTTCTATTTTGTCATTATTTTAAACACATTGATAGATTCTTCTTTTAAACACAGTTGTGTGCTAATGAGCAGTTTGGTTTAAGAATTATACTGTGGCCTGTAATGAATTTGACCTGCTGGGGGGATGAAAGGATTCGGAGATTATGCTTATTTCTGAAACAAAGTTCCTTGACTCTCCTAACCTGCAGGGTGAAAACATCCCACCAAGGTTTATTGCTGAGGCAGGTGGTTTCTTTATTCTGTTCATTTCTCTGAGCTCAAGCAATGTGGGGTTTTTTTTGATCTTCCCACAGCAGCCAGCATCTTCCCCCATTGGCCACCAGAGGGCCTGTGGCTCAACAAAAGTTTCACTGGAGTGAATTATTGGGGAAACGTTGGTTTTTTTTGTTTTTTAAATTCTGCCCAGACATCTGAGGGAATGCAGAACAGCAGTGAAGCTGACAGAGGCGGGCTGAAGCACCCCTTCCCTTGTCATGGTTTAATCCCTGCTGAAACTTCAGGGTCAACTCCCACCTCTGCCCTCTGAATATCCCAAGTCAAAGTGTGGGGATTTGTCTTTTCTTCTTTTTTTTCTCACAGTCTGTAGTGCCACCTCCACTCGCTTTGCAAGTCGGCTTCTCTCTGCTCCTTTCCCCCCCTCGGTGCAGAAAGAAGAATGTCTTTGCCTTGGACAGCTATACTTTTGCTGACTTTCCTACCACTTCTGGAGACCACTGGGAAGGAAGGCGCTGCTGGCTCATTTCTTCAAGAACCTTATCATTCGTTTTCCGGGAGAGAGCAAAGGGCTGCAGACAGCCTTGTAAGAAGGCATTTCATCTCCAAAGATGGCATGATAGGAGAACTGGACAGGGTGAGATGGTTGGGATCTATTGGCAGTTATAAGGGGCAACTGTTCTCGGAAGACCTGTTGAAGTGGAAGAGGACACGCAGGGGAACAGAAGATGAAGAATCAAAGCCAGTTCAGCAATATGTTCCAGGAGTCAAAGTTGAGTTTCCTCGGCCTGCGAACCCTGCCAACTTACGGCCAACCAAGGCCCTGGTGCCATCCAGCACAGATCCATCTGAACGCCACCAAAAAAGTCCGGCAGTCCATGAGGGCACAGAGCCCCAAGACAACATCACTGTGGCATTGGGAAGGCGCCCTCAGATCCAAAACCCTCTGTACCCAGTGACGGAGAGCTCTTACAGTGCTTATGCTGTCATGTTCCTGTCCCTTATCGTCTTTGCTGTGGGCATCATCGGCAACCTCTCGGTGATGTGTATCGTCTGGCACAACTACTACATGAAAAGTGCCTGGAACTCCATTTTAGCCAGCCTTGCCTTCTGGGACTTCCTTATCCTTTTCTTTTGCTTGCCTGTGGTCATCTTCAATGAGATGACCAAGAAGAGGCTTCTGGGGACCATCTCCTGTCGCATTGTGCCCTTCATGGAGGTAAGAGACCTATCTGCTGCCCTCTCTGTGCTATAAGTTGTATGTTTGGACTGATCCCTTTGCATTGGTATTCAGCCATACTATCACCCTGTGTGAAGACCTGTCCTGACCTCTGACCAAAACAAATCAGTCCCTTACAGTCTAACTGTGGGGCTAACCTGCTCCTAACTTTTAACAGAGCTTTACAGTGCAGAAGCGAGCAAGTCAAGAGTTTCAAGGCACTGGTGCAAGCATGAGCCTGTTTCCTAATTACTGTTGTTAAAGGATCAGGCAGACAGATCCAATTCAATGCTTAGGAATTCTATTCCCACTCAAATTGCCACCTTTTCCTCTGATTGGGCACCTGTATCTTTTAAAAGGTGCATCTATAGAGGTCCAACACGTAAGGGTTTCACCATCGCTGGAAAATGCTTTTTAATGCCAGTCTATCACACCTACTTTTAAGGCCACCAAAAATAAGCAGGGGCCATCCTTGCTCTTTAAGATCTCAATTTTTCTTCTCACAGTATTGTAGGATTGCTGCAGGGGTGGAAAATTCTTGCTTTTCAAGTTGTTGGACTCCAAAACTCTTCAGACTTGTCAATGATAGGAGTTGTAGTTGAAAAATAGTTGGAACACCATAGATTCTGAATTACTGGGTAAAATTTGCAAAAATGAGGATCCCTTCTAGAGCAGCTTTATTCTGAAATAAAGGGGCCCTTTTACTTCATCAAATCGGTGGCCGTGGAATGATACATATTTTTAAAACAGTTTGCTGTCTTTCAGAACATGCCTAACAGGCCTAGAGTGCTCTGTCTGTCTGTCTTTGCTTCTCTGCACTAGTGAAATTGCCATGAGTGAAACTGCACTAGTGAAAGACCAAATACTGTGTTATGTTTTTTTGGAATACAGGCCTTCCTCATACTCAACTGTAAACTAAAAGGATTGCAAAGGTCCAGGAAATGCTAAATCTTCCACTCTACAACCTTTTCCATTGGTGTCACTTTTCTCTTAGCTGAGCTACCATCTAATTTTTACTGCCCCCAGGATCTCTAGGGTGTGCAGCAGCAGCCACCATAAACAGAAAGCCTAGATGTCCATTTGCCATTTCATTTTAAATGTTTTTGTTTTGGTGGTGGTGGGTCCTGTATCTGCTTACATCTACTGTAGAGTCTTTTGGAAGCAGAAAATGGCATTGGGTGTGGAATTATTTTGGGATGGGAGACCGTGACCCTGGTCTAGACTTTGCCCATCTCTGCTTTACTGTAATGTAACCCACACATAAGCACAAGCAGCTGGAACAGCCACATCACTTCTCTTTTTAGAAGTTTCCTCTTTTCTGCATCTTCTGTCATTTTAGATTTTCCCCACAAATTTTAGATTGTAAGCTTTTTGGGCCAGAGACTTGACTACTCTATTTTGTAGAGCAGGCATGTGCTGCATCCAAAATGAAAACTACCCTGAAACCCCTGCACGAGGTTTGGGGTTGCCATTTAAAACCTGTGACATTGACTTCTTCCTCGATTGTCCATATCACCAACTCTTATGCTGCTGCTTAGACACCACTACAGCTAAAGGCTGACGTCACACTGCCCTTTTGTGACAAGTAGGAGACACATAGCCTTGCTCACTTTGGTGACATTACATATACTCAGTCTCTTAGCGCCAGATGTATATGTAGGGCTACCTTGTGATAGTTATTCCTACTGGGCACCTGTATCTTTTAAAAGGTGCATCGATAGAGGTCACCTTGTGATTGTTATTCCTAGAAATAATAAACACAGGCTGTGAATCAAAAAGAAGTTATTCATTATTTTAAAAATGAATGAAAAGATTCCGTTAGCAGGTGGAAAGCAGAATAAAAAAAACATTGTTTCAAGCTGTCAGGTTCTTTAAATGGAATTAATTAATATCATGCAGCCACGTAATTAATTAATTAATTAATATTAATTAATATCATGCAGCCATAACACTTCAACTTTTCTTCTTTTTAACATAAAACACTTTCCGATAGATACTCGACATAAGTACCAAAACAGACCGCACAGTTATTCACAGCCTCTTCCGAAAACAGACTCAGCCTAAACTTGTAACTAACCCACAATTTAAGTCACTGACACACAGCTTTTACTAACTCTCTCATACACATCCTTATATACAAGGCAAAACCTCTCAAGTTAGGGACCACACAGACCTATCAACTCACATTTTTTCACATTTCTAAACTGTCATAACTGCTGTTTCTGGCACACATCCCTCCCCCATACAACTGTCAATCAATCCCAGTAGCATACAAAGCAAGCCAGCACAAACGTTTATCTGTCTACAGTGTAAACTTGCAAGGTATGAACACTCTGTAGAACATAGTGTCCATCAGCCATACTGGCAGAGGTTGCTAGCATCTGGAGTCCAACATTACATAGAGGCTGTAATAGCTTCCCCAACTCTCATATACAGCGTTCTGTAGAAGCAAGGTTAATAGTAAAGATGATGGCAACGTTATTTATATCCCATTTGCACAGTGTCATGATCCTAAAGATACACTGATGAAACATACACACACAAAAAGATGGCTGAGTATTTTGTTTTGTTTTGCTATGATGTCTTTGGGGTCTCTGGGGCGGTCCAGAGTAAGACCGCTTCAAAAGCTAGATCCCTGCCCCCCCTCCCCCTGGAGTTTACAGTCTACAACAAAACATTGAATTGAAGATGGAATGCACTTAGCACGTTTGTTAGCATTGTTTTGGCATAATATTATATTAAATGATGCATGTGGGATACCAATAAGGATACCCATCGCATGAGGTTCGTTTTCTCTTAATTGCACAACATAATGCAATTCGTTCCTTGGTCGGAACGTGCCACTTTGGCTGCCACCTCGCTGCTCACTCTGTAGCTCTTCTGCTCAAGACAAGATGAGAGCAACGCAGGTGGTGGAACATCTGTGAATGAATCAGAGCTTGGCTGTGGGAACAGCTCAGTGCATGGAGGAGGCAGGGAAGACAATGGGCCCTTGGTAGTGCTTGGGAGGAGGACTGGCAGTTGGGCAGAGTAAGGGCTTTCTGAAGGAAAATAGGGAAATGCAGCCATGGGTCAAGCTCTTATTCATGCAATCCCCACATCTCATCCCTGCCAGAGGCCACTGCTGCATGCTTAAGGAAAAAAACACAGCTGCCCGTATCTGAAAATCCAAATGTTACAGGCCTCAGTGGGCTATGCTTGCTGCTGTTCGCTACTCTCCATCCTACATATACCTGCACTACGATGAAAGAAAAGTGATGGAATCCAAGTTAGGCATTTTAATGTTTTCACGGATTGTGGGATTTTCTTGCTAAATGCCAGATCATCAAGATGCTTAATGCTATTGATACTTGTGAAAGTTAAATAATAAGCCACCTTCATTCTGTTCCATTTTTACATTGACTAACAAACTCAACTGATTTGCAGCCAGTGGTGGTTTGTTGTTGATGTTGTTTTCCAGAGCTGAATTGTTCTGCTCTTACCAATGTTATTTTGCAGGCACCCGCAGCCTGTTTTCACAACAGGGCAATTTCATGCTGCTACTGCTAGAGGAACACCACCAACAGCTTAGAACATGGGCCATAAGTGCATGTGAATGCCCATGCATGTGGAATGGGATCCTGCAGGTTGCCTAGATAAAACTGTGTTGGCAGGCCATAGAGAGGAAACCCATTTCCCAAATTACAGTGTAAAAAGGGTATCGTTCATTCAAAGTAACAGGTGTGGCTAGGAAATGCTGCCTTTGCTAGAAATGGAAATGTGTTAGTGCTCATTCTAAGGACTGGCTGCATCTTGAATAAAACATTGGGATTCACAGTTCTGGCCTTTCAAAATGCCTGGTTGTCCAAAGCAATGATTCTAAAGCTTTCATTTCTTACATATCAAAGAACCTGATTCCCTCCATGATAAAAAAAACAAAAAGCTCGCTTTTTTCTAGTAAGGACATGCATTTATATTTATCATTTAGGCAGGGGGAATGGGGGATTAGAAAAATATGTATCCCACAAGAGAACACGAGAAAAGGATAGTGATATCTTCGCACCAGGGGAAGGAATAGTTAGTCTTATTTCTTCATATTATTCTTAATACAAGAATGATAAGGGTTATTTCTTCACATAGATTTCTGAGGGACAAACTGTGTAAGATAATAGTTTGTTCGCTGGTTTACTTTGTTTATGTGTGGTGGGGCTCCCTACATTCCACAAGTCAGACGGACTTGTTTTCTCCAAATCCATCTGACTCAGATGATACAATCTCAGATGGGGAAAAATGGAGTTCAAAGAACAGACTGCCAAGAAGAAGGGGCAAGGGGATTGTGTTCCTCTCCCTGACCATTTGTTGTATAATTAGATTTTCTGCTCTAAATGAACAGGTTGTTGTCACATGCCATCAAGTCACCCCTGATTTGTAACAACCTCATGAATGAACGAACAGTCTCCAAAATGTCCTGTCCTCAACAGACCTGCTCACCTCTTGCAAACTCAACCTTGCAGTTTCCTTTAGAGAGTCAATCCATCTTGTACAGTATTTGGTCTTCCTTTTTCCTGCTTCCTTCAACCTTACAAGACAAACATGTAGAAACAGATATTGCTGCTGCCATACACGCGCGCGCGCACACACACACACACACACACACGCACACGCACACACGCACACACACAGAGTTTGGCCCAAAGACAAATAAAAAATAGAGTCTTGCTTTGATTAAAACACGCATCTTAATTAAAAAATATCCTAATAGCAGCTAACCCAATGATCCCTTTTTAAACTAAATGTGCATATGATCAATGCCTCAATAAAACTATCCTTTGGGATAACTTATAGTTTAATAAAGAAAAGGTATCACATGGATACCTGAAGGACCGCCTCCTTCCATATGAACCTAGCCTGCAGCTAAGATCTAGCCCGGGGCCCTCCTGAAAGAGCCGTCCCTCAAGGAGGTAAGAGGGATGGCATGTAGACAAAGGGCCTTTTCGGCAGCTGCCCCCAGACTATGGAACGCCCTCCCGAGGGAGATTCGTCTGGCGCTCACATTGATGATGTTCCGGTGCCAGGTCAAAACCTTCCTGTTCCAGAAGGCTTTTAATTGTAATAATATCAACTATGGGCCCTGATGGCAATTTTTAGGGTATATATTTTAATTGTATTTAATTGTTTTATCTTTTTATTGTATTTTACTTGTTTTCAGCTGCCCAGAGACCTTTGGGTCGAGTGGGTGGCATATAAGTTAAATAAATAAATAAACTTGATCTAAAACAATTTATTTGTTATTTTGAGTCCTATTACAATAATACAGAGAAGCACAACCACTTGAGCCAACTGTATGCCGGCTCTGCTAGGAAACTCTCTAAACTTCCAACCTTCCTGAGCCTCTCAGTAATTTTAGAACTGCAGAACAGGAAGGGACCCTACGGATCACCAGGTCCAGCCCCTGTCAGGGAGACACAGTGGGAAATCCAACTCCCACCTTCTGGCTCCACAGACAGATGCCTAAATCGCTGAGCTATCCAACAGTTCAGTGATCTCTTGGAGGCAAATGTGGGTACTGTCAACCTTGTGTGAATTTTTGGTGCCATTTAGATTGTGAGGCCAATCTACTCATATCTTTTAAAAATACCGTGAGAAGTGGTGCTCAGAAGCACAGGCTACAGCCTGGAACTGTTCTGTTGTGTGCAGATTTGGCTGCAGTTAAAAGGATATGGAAGGTTTTTAAAGAAAGCACGCTTCTCTTCCCAATTTCCAAGGCTTCCTACACTCAGTGAATGGCCCTTGTTCCCCTCAGAAGTGAGCGGGTGCCTGCAATTAGGGCCCTGGAGCTCTTGGGCAATCTGTGGAGAGCAGTCCAAACCAGGGGGGGGGGGGCATTGTGTTTCCTGAGGCTTAGGAAAGCAGGGTGTTTGTAATGGAGAGTACTGGGGGAGGAGAGAGCAGGCCCAACTGATACTTATTCATTGTCTTTCAAATGCACCCAGCCTTTGGCATTTTCTTCTCCACACTTTGCCCTCTTCCCTTTTGGCACACAGGAATGTTTTCCTGGGGTTCTGAATGCAGCGGAAATTAACAGGGACTGGTTGAGGACATCAACAAATTTACTTGAACTCATTTGGTGCCCAGAGAGCGGATGCAGTTTGCTTGGAAAAAGCAGAATGGTAGGGTGGTTTGTTTAGAGGATGTAAGGAGCAAAAGCTTGTCAAGGGAGAACTTGCTATGCCTGGGAATCATCTCTGCACCACAAGAGTGGCTTTCCCCTCTTATCTAATCACTCAGTCTGTGAGCATAAACCAGTGGCTCAGTGAGGCCTGGCCTGCATGTAGCAAAGTGCAGTAAAGAGACCACTGAGGTAGAACTTCATAATACAGGTGGAGTATAACTAAACACTTTCCTGACTCCAAATAGTAAATTTCCTGCAGAGAGAAAAATAGTGAACGAGAGAGATATTTGAGATTCCCCCCACCCCGTACCCCGACCTCAGAACACAAGAACAGAAGATGAGCCCTGCTGGATCAGAACAAAGGGCCCATCTAGTCCAATGTTCTGTATCTCACAGTGGCCCCACCAGATGCCTTTTGGGAGCACTCGAGACAACTGGATACCTGTCTCCTGATACCACTCCCCTGCCTCTGGTATTTGGAGGTAACTTCCTTTGAAGCCTTGGGATGACACATCCCCATCATGGCTTATCACCTGCAATGGATGTTTCCTCCAGGAATCTGTCCAATCCCCCTTTAAAGGCAAGTAGGCCAGATGCCATCAGCACATCCTGTGGCAAGGATTTCCACAGACTAACAACACACTGGATAAATAAAAATTTTCTTTTGTCTATTCTCACTCTCCCAACACTCAATTGGAGTGGATGCCCCGTTTCTGGTATTGCGTGAAAAGGAAAAGGGCTTCCCTCTATCCAATTTATCCATCCCCTGCATCATTTTATATGTCTCAATCATGTGTCCCCCCAGGCACCTTTTCTCTAGATTAAAAAGCCCCAAATGCTGTAGCCTTTCCTCATAAGGGAGGTGCCCCAGCCCAGTCATCATTTTAGTTGCTGTCTTCTGCACCTTTTCCAGTTCCACTATGTCTTTTTTGAAGTGTGGGGACCAGAACTGTGGCCTTTGGCTGCTATGCTGTTTTTTTGTTATGTTTTGTTCAATTACAAGAATATGCAGAGGAATATCTGAAACTGATCTTAGTGTAGTTTGAGGTGATATAGTCTAATTTCTACCACCACATTCATCTGCATGGGCAAGCCAGCCCTGAGACCAATTTCCTCAGAATACTGAAGGTTGACAAAGAAAAGGAGGAGGCATTGTTACAAGATATTGGCTGAGATCCAGTAATGTCACAACTAGAGTAGCCATTGAATCAATGGAACTTAGGATAATGGTTGACTTGTAAAATTCTCACTAGGCCTACTCTAGTTGCAACTTACTACTGGAGTTTAGCCATTAACTCTGACTCTGCACAATGTTTCTTAATTGACAGATGTTTATAACATACAAGCAACAACCAACTCCATAATCCCTTTTCTTTCCCACCTGTTGACTAATGGAAAGAAAAGCACCTGTAGTTATAGTTAAGGTAGAATATAATGAACAGTACTGAAGTTGTGAACTTCAAAAAGGTGAAAATATAGAAGAAATTGAGGCAGTTGGGTGCATTGGGTTGGAAAAAAGAAAATGCTACTTAGAGGAATGCTTGATAATTTTTATTTCTGATAAATATTTCAGAAAGACAAGAGTACCAGTATCCACCTGGCAAATGTAATATTAAAGCACAATATTAACTATAATCTCTTATAAATACCCTGAAAGTAATCCTAGTCATTGTAATTCTATGCAGATGTCAAAGGGGGTTTTAGACAGACAATTTGGAACGCCTTTCCAAAACAGTTTGTGGTATTAAAAGAAGCCCAATACTTTAATAGGCTATGGGAAATCAATACCCAGGTGATTAACACTAGCATACTTTTTAGTGCAAAACAGTGTCCTTAGTGTCAGCTTAATATGGAATAGCCTAAGAACATCTTAGGGAGAAAGAAGGCACTAATTTGAGTACCAGATGGTTGCTTTCCTTAACCACTAGAGTCTGTTACCCAAGTTGCTTTGGTAGAATCCTTGACAATGATACAGAATTATTCTGGCACTGAGTCACAAAGGATTTCAACGATTCCTCTTTTCAATCATTTGGTCATACGTTCTGTCTCCCTCATTTAGGCACGAGGCTTAAAATAGTTTTCTGAAATGTTTTCACCTGCAATCTAATGTCACACACCACATACCTCTAGTCTCAATCAACAGGGAGCATTGAGATTAGGATTATTTTTTCTGGTTCCTTATGCAATTCTGATATTTTCTATAAGACTTTATAATATGGGAACATTTCATCAGGTGACTATCCTGTGTGGGGAAATGTCCCACTTTCCACTTCTTCTCCATTATAGAAAAATGTTACTTTGTGTTTCTTCTGGTTCTTTTCATATATTCCTCTTGTTTTAAAACTAGCTTCCCCTTTTGTTGGCTGAACCCCCTCAGGTAACAATCTGCTTGTTTATTTGTTTTTTGTGATCTGCAGGTGTCTTCCTTGGGAGTAACCACCTTCAGTCTCTGTGCCTTGGGCATTGACAGATTCCATGCTGCCACCAGTCCGCAAGCCAAACTCCGGCCCATTGAGCACTGCCACTCTATTATTGCCAAGTTGGCTGTCATCTGGGTGGGTTCCATGACCCTTTCCATACCTGAAATCATGCTGTGGCAGCTGGCACAGGATACCTCTCCAATCTCGGGTGTAGTAACCGACTATTGCACCATGAAACCTTCCCAGGAGCTACCTGAGTCCATATACTCTTTGGTCCTTACTTACCAAAATGCCAGGATGTGGTGGTATTTTGGATGCTACTTCTGTCTGCCCATACTCTTCACTGTCAGCTGCCAGCTAGTCACCAGAAGGATCAGTAGCACAGATAAGACCGATTGCCGTGGTGGGAAGCACGGGCAGTGTGAGAACCAACTCAATTGCACAGTGATTGGCTTAACAGTAATCTACGGTCTCTGCATAATTCCTGAGAACGTCAGCAATATCGTTGTAGCCTACCTGTCTCCGGACATGGCTAAACAGACCTTGGACCTGCTCAGCCTCGTGAACCAATTCTTCCTGTTCTTCAAGTGCTCAGTGACACCTGTGCTGCTTCTGTGCCTCTGCAAACCTCTGGGCCAGGCCTTCATGGACTGCTGCTGTTGCTGTTGCGAGGAGTGTAATCAGGAAGCTGCCTCCAGTGAGGCTGGCTCTGACGGCAAGCTGAAAACTGAGATGTCCTCTTCGATCTTCTTTGACAAGCCTCGAGAGTCACCTCCCCCTGTAGGGGCCGTTGGAACCCCTTGCTAAGCTCAATCAGTCCATCCAGGGAGCATTAGCATTTTTCCACCAGGTTCTCCCGAGACCAAAAGCTGTCTTTTTTCTCTCTCTTTAGTTATCAACTGGCTGGAGATGCAGCTGGTGCCACCCATGAGTTTGTTCCAACGCTAGCTCCAATAAGAGTGACTTAGTGATGAGACCATACAGACCGTTCTCTTATCTGCCGAACAGTTAGTTCTCAAGGCTGTGAATGCCTCGAAAAAACCCCCAAGGTCCTAGGCATGATCAGAGATGCTGCCACCTCCAATGAGGGAAGTGCTGAGTAAAGTTCCATCTGCAGTCCTCTCAAGGACCAAGAAATCAGAGTGCCTTAGAGAGGACATAGCACACATTAACCTCTGCTGCAGAATCTCACTATCCCCTTCTCCACTCCAGTGGTGTCATACTTTTCCAAAATTTAGCCCAGACAACCTCATATACACAAGTTAAGCATTACCCTAGCATCAATAAACCGATAAACTAGATAGAACAAACATGTTTCCTGTGGCAACATCATTCATGTATTCTAAAGTGGCTAGTTGCTCTGTGAATACTGTATGTTTGAGGAGCTCAAACAGAATCTAGAACAAAGAACAAAATCTCCAGTTTCCCTCCCTGCAAAGAGAATAGCATGATTTTCTTGAAAGGTATTATATATATATATATAAACACTCTGACAAGAAAAGCATTGGAAAGGTTTGGGTATTTTAAGCAAAGTCTCACTGCTAAACAACAATGTGTCTAATCAAACTTGTATGGGCACCAATGGGAGATTTCTTCTTTGGGTTAACAGCATCTTTAAGGAGGTGTGTGTTTGTGTGAGTGAGAAAGAGAAAGATTCCTGAAGACATTGGCGTAGGTTCTACAAAACCATCATAGGTTTTGTAGAGGTCAAATTATCATATAAAATTTGGACCAGAGCACCAAACATTAGCTCTTTGAGCTGCAATTCCCGGAATCACTCTGCCAGCTCTGGGTTATTCTGGGTGTTGTAATCAAATTCCCTAGAAGAGAAAATGTAGGGTCTCCTCCTTGTTCGCAATGGGCAAGACACCTTCTCATCCCTTAGGAATACTCAGCAGCACTGCCAGACCCTCCCTCTATACTAGATGTTGCTTTTGGCTAGTGGTTCCCCAAATGGAGATGAATACACAAAGCCACATAGAAATCTGCAGAACAGTATATACTTAAAGAACACTTCCATCTGTCTGACAATATTATACTGCCATATCATGTCCGCTCCTTGCCCCAATATTGTGTTCTTCCCCCCAAAAAATAATGAGGCTCCTTCAAGAAGGACAGAAACCAGAAGAAAAAAAATATCTTAGAATGTCTAATTAATATATTTATTCTGTACAATGCAACACAGTTTAGCCCTCTGTTAGTTTTGTGGCCTTCCTCGGGGGCTAAAGATAAAATAAAAGTACATTTTTAACATGTTTCACAATACATGTCAGGACAGAACAATTATGATACAATCACGCTGACCAAAAACCTCAATACAATGACTTACAGTTTAGAAGTCCAGCTGGATCTGTTTAACAAAAAAAAATCCAAGGAACGTGAGATGGTTGTCAAGCTGCCATTTCAATAACTCTTATATTAAACCAGATGTAGGTGGAGACCTTGAAATGAACAGTCATGGGAAGAGAAGTCTTTTTAATTATCTATTCCGAAGGGCTTTTGGACTGTCTCTAGAGAGACATACTGGACTGACTTTATACAATTTGTCAGAAAACAGGGAGGCAATAGAAGTCCTCATTCAGTCCCTTTGGGTGGCAGTTCTCAAACAGTGCACCTTCTGCCCCAGGTTGCCCCTAAACTCACCTAGGGGCACTGCAGAATCCTCAGAAATACTTCTGTAGAATCACTACTTAGGCAGGGCTTTCCCCTCCCCCCCTGCTTCCCCAAAGCATTGTATTGGGGGAGCTGCAACCAGTGGCCAGTAAATCAAGGGGAGCCACAAACTGAAAAAGTTTGGGAACTGCTGTCTTCGGGATTAGAATTTGTAATCTGAAAATCCAGTCTTTTCTTAAAAAGATCTTACTACTACATCTATCCCTTCTGTCAACTGCCCCAGAATTGAAAATCTGATGTTTTATGTCCCTTCTCCACAAAATGTTGTACCAGTGGAGCACTTGTTTTCTATCCCTGATGTTGCAAAGGTGTTCTTCAATCTTCTTCTTAAAGGCCCTTAATGTTTTGCCAACACAGACGTTTTTACAGGGGTAATGAATGATACAATTTTTAGAGGGATGGAAAAGGGTCTGGTGGGTGCTTCTGCCTCATGAGCCAAATAACTTGGGTGGCCATGCACTTCAACTTAGGTGAGGGCACTATCTACTGCTCTCTCTCAGACGTAAAATGTTTTGGATTAGCTGGGAATTGGAACTTGTGCTGTACGGTGAATTGCTCGCAAGGGGAAAAATGAACCATATTTTTCGCTCCATAAGACGCACCAATTTTTTAGGAGAAGAAAACAGGAAAATATAATCTGTTTTCTTTGCTCCGTAAGACATACAGACTTTCCACCCCCCTGTTTTGTGGGAAAACAGTGTGTCTTATGGTGTGAAAAATACAGTATCTATGTCCTTATGGACATAGATTTTATCCTGGAGTTCCTGGTGAGATAAGAGAACTTTATCCCCATATGCTATCACATGAGCTCACTGTGATCCCTTGTCACTCCCCCTGCTTCCCATTCTCCTCAAAGTCAACATGACACAAAGGCATCTGAGGCTGGCCATTCTGGGATTACAAAAAAATCCAATTATACTTTTTGCCTCTTGCAGAGAATCGCTTGGGACCATAAGCTGGGTCTCAACAAATATTTCTGATCCACACGACAGTGAGAAGAACCAAGAGTTTATTTATCAGCTTGGCCTTTTTGAAAGGTTGGGGTTATCAGTTTGGGCAAACAAGCCATGTTTTAATGGATATACCTACTGAAAGTTTCCAGGGCTAAGATTCCTTGCTTCCCTCAAGAAAAAGGTCAAAGGCCACAGTCCTTCAAAAGAGATGCACACAAACACACACACACATATACATGTACCTATTAAGTTCTTTTGAAGATCTGTGAGATGGTGGTGTTAATGGTGAGCTACTCTTCTCAAATAGATTTAAGGTGAAGCCAATGATGGTAGGCTACTTTTCCCAAGGCACGTACAGAAGTCCATGTGTACATACAGCATAGTTTTGCTCTCTAGGATATTTAGTTGTACTCCAGTCACAATCAAGAGATCTTGTACCAAAGATGTAAGGAAAATGGGAGGTAAAAAGGAGCATGAGGAGTGCAAGGAATATGTCTGACCAAAGCAATTGGGAAGTTCTATGCATATCCACACCTCCCATGTTTCTGATATCCATACTGTTATTTTTACTCTGCACTAATTCAGTGTCACACACATGTCGGTACCTCTACAGCACATCTTTTACTCATATAAGGTCTCTGAGTTAAAGGACGTTAGGTAGCCCTTAATGGGAAAGACCCCTGGTTGATAACCTACCCACCATCATTAGAGGATGCACTAGGAGTGATTGGCTAATGGTCTAGCTCGACATAAAAAGGTATTTTCATAAAAAGGTCATCCTGTCTTCATTCTAATGTCTTCAGAGAAAACAGAAGTTTCTTTCCGAAAGAAAGAGGTCCTGGTGTCAGAGATTAAATGCCAAATTACATGGTTCAAGCAGCATCCTAGGATAGCTGGTGTGGCGTAAAACAAACACCTTTGCAGGACTGCTGGCTTGGCTTTCAGCTATGCCTGTCCTCACATTTATGTTAAGCAAGACTCCTGCTCGGTTTGTGCAGAACTGTGTAAAGTGCCTTGTTCTTGGCTCTCTTTGGATTGCACCCTCAGAAGCGAAAACATCACTGAGAGAGGGAAGCAGTTGCTAGGGGATGGGTTGCAATGCAGGGGGATCAGTGACGGCTTTGTATAAAGAATGACACCCACAGTTCCTTCTTGGGCCTGCTGCCATGGAGACAAAGCCTCGGTCTTTATACAAAGAAAGTGATGTTTGGATTGCTGCCCCCATTAGCAAACAGGAACAGTCCTGGGGCAGGCGCACTTGGTGCATCTCCCAAAGAAACCTCTCTCATTGACAGACTCAGCTGTGGCACTTTCTGTTTCCTTGGGCAGGGGGACAAGCCCCTTTGCACTGGAGCTATTAATCATTGTGATTGAGGTGGGGGAGGGACAGAATGGAGAAAGAAGCTGTGGGTTCAACAATGGATGCAGATTCTCATCAATAACCTCAGCACCCACCCGGCTTGAGACAAAAGGGCCAAAGGGCACTGAAAGAGGTAGACACTACAATAGTTGGAAGTGGAGACAGCCGATTCCTATATTACTCTCTGAAAGAATGTATTTACATTCACTAAAAAGAATGATTTTCTGTTTTCGTTGAATGCTGGCTATGATTCTATGTCTGCCATGGAATCCCACGAATCTTCCACAGAATCCCATGTTGCAAAGAACTCTGGGAAATGTTCTAACCTGCACAGCATTTGACAAGTCAATGAGTAGACCTGTATTGAGCATTTCCATTCAATGAACAAAAGAAGGTTAACTCTGGGAGTAGTGTGGTGCTGAAGAACATCCTTGGGGTCTGGAAGCCTGTATGTTGCCCATCCCTGCTTCAGGAGGCTATTTTATTTACTTTATCCCACATTTCTTCCAATAGACCTAAGGAGGCTTACAATGTGATTTTAAAAAAATCAACAGGTAATAACATTAGATCATTATATTAAAACCCAGTTTAAAAATCAGTGTTTTCTCAGAGACATTCTAGGTTCTACAGAAAACAACAATGCACTCTTTCCAACCTGGTGGTCTCTGGAAGACTTTGTCCTATAAACAAGCACTAACAACCTGAGCCAAAATTGTACAAGGGAGATGAAGAGAGTTTCCCCATCTCACCCTCCATGGGGTATAGAAAACAGGTCCACACTCTGGGATACATTCATGAAAAGCCCAATGGTAAACAACATTGATTTGAGGCAATTTTCAAAGAGGTAGTTGTTAGTCGCTTCCTGTATGTGTAACAAAAAAAAAACAACTCCTATGAACAGAACCTAATTATGAATGCAAACCGTTGGCGAGTGCTCAAAATTCTGGCCTTTTAAATTCATACTTTGTTTTGCCCACTGATTCTGTCCCTGTTGTTAACATGAGCCTGCCATATTCTTAAAAGTGAATTTGTTTTTTAAAATAACCCCTCTACCTCACTCCCAATTTCTCCTCTTTTGCCAATTCACTTGTTCACAGTCCTCTCTGAGCTCATATATCAGGGAAGGCAAGAGAAAGGAGTTGTGCATGTGAATGAGAGAGAAACCTGACAAGCTACACAAGTAGCCAAGTTAAATAAGTGGGTAGAAATAATGACAAGCTGGTCGGTTCACTCATCCCTTTCAAAGTTTCAGTGGGCATGGTAGACAGTACTGTTAGCTGACAGTAATGTCAAGGAGAGCAGATATGAGAAAAATCTTTCCACCTGACCGGGTTCCTTGGTGACATTTTATGTAAAACCTGATGTATAATGAATGAGTAGCCTTCCAAACATTCTTGGATGCTAACTGCTCTCAGTCTCAACCAGTACAATTATTATTCAGGGACGATGGGAACTGCAGTTGAACAACATGAGGAAAACCACATCTCCCCCATATCTCTGATGTTGATCTACACACCAGAGAATTTACAACTTTTGCCAACATAGGCTTCTACCCTTACACGAAGCCTGGAAACATTCCAAGTGCATGAAGCAAGTCTGAACAATGACGACAGAAATACACAGTGAGAGGTGGCAACTGACTTGAATCAAGGCCCTTGATCCAAGGCTGACCAGGGTGGGTAGGGGCTTGTATGCAGCCTAAGTGATGATGTGACCTGAATATATAACAGGACAGGACGGAATAGATGGGAACTGCTATTCATGCAGTGTTTTCCTCCTGCTGGCTTATGCCAAGGAAGAACAATGCTCAGTTTGTTGCAATGTCTTCTATTTGGTTAGGGAGCTGGGGGTGGAGAATGGATAATAGGAGGGAATGGAAGAAGGAGGGAGAGTTCAAGACCAAGATTGGCTGGAATACTATGGTGCTGGGGGATAGCGGCGGGGGTGGGAGGGAGTGTGTCTAACATTTCAAAGATGCTGAGGCCAGGAGGGGTAGCTTCCTTCACTCAAGCATGCCAGACAGAGGACCAAGCATGCTGTGCTGCTATATTTCCACTGGGAGCTGGACTCCAGATGGCTCCTGGTAGAGGAAGGAAGATTTGGGTGACCTCACTAGGTGAGACACAAATGGCAGAATAACAGCTAGGTCTCCGATTTTGGGGTTTGACGGTGGTGCCACTTTTCCTAACATACAGTGTGAATGAATGTAGAAAACAAAAATCAAAGGCAGTTAAATTTTATTGGAAACTGTACATTACAATGAAGAAATGCAGATTTCAAACTTGCAGATGGATTTTTGTTGCTGCCACCTCTTAAGCCGAACACTTAAAAGAATTCTCAGCCCAGTACATTGTTTTTAGCACAAGAGCTGAACAGAACTCACAATCATTCAACATAAAAATCCTAATTATCCTAAGTTTTCTTCAGTGACATCATACAATTGTAGTGTGATGGGTACATGCCACTTAGTTGTTGTAAAAAAATTCTAGCCAGTCTTCTGCAAATGGCCCAGAGATCTACCAGTATAATGATTTTCAACTTTGGCTCTCCAGATATTTTGGACTTCAGCTGCCAGAATACCTGGCAACTGGTCATGCTGGCTCAGAACTCAAGGAGTTGAATTTCAAAACATCTGGAGAATGAATGGCTGAAAACTACTGTTTCTAGGTCTTTTGTCTGCCCACCCTTGTTTTGCGGAACTAACTACACATGCTGAAGCACAAGAAAAAACTTTTTAAACAATTAAAGCAGTAGTTTTAAAATTTGGAAGCTTATTACAGATTCCTTGGTAAGATCATTAGCAGCATATCACTATTTCATCTATTCTTACGTTACTGATATAATGCCATTAACAATGTCTTCTGGGCAGCTAACTAGTGAAAAACCACTATCAAAAATAGTAAAAGCAATCAAGCTATAACACTGAGTACAGTGGTGCCCCGCATAGCGACGTTAATCCGTTCCGGATTAATCGTTGCTATGCAAAAATAATCGCTAAACGGATCAAAAACCCCCATAGGAATGCATTAAACGAAGTTCCTATCGGGCCCCAAACTCACCGTTCAGCGAAGTTCCTCCATAGCGCCGCCATTTTCGCGCCCTCGGTAAGTGAGGGCAGGGCGCGAAAATGGTTGCAGCGGCCATTTTGGGCATCCGGCGACCATTTTGGAACCGCCAATCAGCTGTTTAAAAAACATCGCAATGCGGAGATCGGTAAGCGAAACGCTTACCGATCATTGTAATGCGATGTTTTGCTATTGAAAACATCGCAATGCAATCGCATTAGCGATCTGAAAAAACAGATAGCTATGCGGATTCGTCGTTAAACGGTGCGCTCGTTAAGCGAGGCACCACTGTAAATAGAACCAGCAACAGCAACACCTAGAAGACAACAAATATACATCACCCGATGAGTTCATTATGTAGGTCCCAAATGAGCCTCTGATGAGGGCAGCTCAAGGAAGGCGGAGGAATTCTGAAAAGAGCTTATCTTCCATTGCAGCACCAAACTACAGGGCAATGCTGGTTGTGTTCCATGGCATACATACTTGAGTGATACAAGGAGGTGGTGAGGCCTGGCCAGTGCTTCATGTGGCCCAAGTGTATGGCTAGGAACGTGACCCACACTCCTTTGTGGCAAGCAGGTTTCATTACATATTCCAGGTGAGGGAACCCCTGCTGTTATGTCAATAAGGAGAAGATTCCCTTAAGATCAAAACCTTGAGAGCACTTTGCAAGACCAAGAGATGGAGGATTAAATGCAGTAATGGGGAACCTGTGGCCCTCCTGATGTTGTTTAACTCTGACCCAATCAGCATACCCAACAGAAGCAATAGTCAAGGATGTATCCAAAGATACTGAGAAGACCACACATTCCATAGGCCCAGGATACATGTTAGGCAACCCTATACCTTCCAGATGTGCTCGACTATATGTCACATCATCCATGGTCAGTGGCTGTGGTAACTGGACCTATGAGTGTTGTAATCCAAAGTATCTGGAAGGTTGCAGGCTACCTACCCTTGCAATGGCTGTATCAAGTCTCACTTGTGATTCTCTCAGTCATTTGGCTGGATGAATCTTGGGCCTAATCCAGCCACAGTTTCATATATTTAGCTCTTCAGTTACTATGGATCAGAAACTGACCTACAAGAAAATATGAAGGTCAAACTCACGGGTTTCGCTATAACTTCCAAGTCTCTCTGGTATATGAGAAAAGAATTGCTGAGGTAAACTAAATTCCAGAAGGCTAACTGTATCTGTCTGCAGCAACATGGACATTTTTGGCAAAGTGTGACATATCTTAGAGACTAAGACAATCACAATGCCTTCAACTCCCACCAAAATGCCATCAGTTCATTTGCTCAAGGATTGTCTCCTTGTTCCTGCTAAACAGCTCTCATCTCCTTAGCCTCTGGCTCATATTAAGAGTGGTGTCTGGCCCCTTTTCTGTCTGTGATAGCCTCAGAATGTCTAACACCCTTCAGAAAGGGGAATCGGAAACCAAAGATTTTAACTACTACAGAAGTGGAGAAAGAAGTGTACAACGAGTATGAGTGCACACTCAGGAACATAACTGTACAGTGTTACTGGGAAGAAGTTACTTCATTCAGTCTCAATAACATGCTTGTTGCTTCCTTACTGCTAGGATGAAAGGGGGCGTCAAAAATGAAACTCTCATGTAGGGAAAAGCCACACCAGAAAAGCTAGGTAGAAACAGCTAATGTGTAAATTACATTAATAATTGTATATGAGTAGGCAGTACATATTTTTCCTCTCCTTCAGGAGAATACCACATTACATTTAACGATAAGTAGCTATGTCCAGTTGAACTTTGGGTTGTAGTCGACCAACCCATTTCTGAGATTTATATGCCTTTAGAATAAAGCTGGTGGACCTCTAACTCTGCAAGTATTGTTGGACTCCATTCCCATCAGCCCCAATCACTCTGTCCACAAATGAAGGATTACAGGAGTTGTAGCTCAGCAAAACTTAGTGTGCTACATGTTCTCTAGCAGTGTTTTCAGTTACTGTGCAACTGTACTTTGAACTATGCATGTTGTGGGATGTTGTCTCTTCCCTTCTTCAGGGAACACTCCAGCACATGTAGACTCCCTTCATCATGGAGCTGTAAGGATGCACCATGATGGAGATGGATAAGCCAAGAATATGAGTGATGGTTTTAGTCATATGGCTCTAAACACTGAAGGCTGCATACAGTTGCTTCAAGGCTTTGCACAGCAAATAAAGGGCTGTTCCATGACATGCAAAGCATATACTTTGAGGTTAAATGTGACAGTACTTTTATAGTCTTCGATTAATGCATCTACCCCTATTTTAAGATGGTGGCCACTATGCATCTCATGTAGCAATGAATGCCATAAGTTAGGTGGAAATATTTCTGTTTGCTGTGGTATCACCACAAATCAATTTCTTTGAATGATTCCCTTCTCCCATATTCTAGTAATATAACCGTATAAACCTTTGTAGAAAATTAAATACTGTACATTACTTCTTCCTTCCTCTAGGCCAAAATTATCCAATCATAGCATCTTTGGTGGGTCTTCATAGCGCCTTTACAAGTACTGTAATAACGTTTTTGACACAGTGATAATAACTTGGACAAATATTTCTAAATGCAGCTATACCATAGATGTATGTGGATGTATTAGCACAGCAGCAGTTTCATTTCCTCATAGTTTGCAATACTGAGCTTGCCTTTTAACTACTATCTTACTGTAGCCGTAAGATGGGTGGTTAAGTCAATTTAGAAACCCCAACAACATACATGTCTGTCAGCTAAATATTTTTAGTAATTATTGAATGACACTTGGAAGTATCTAAAGACAAGCTTGCTCTCCTTAGTCTGGTGTTTCCCTTCTGCATAAGCCATAAAAGTTGTCCAATTCTAGTCCCCTCAAAAGGAAACAAACTACATCTCTAGCAGGCAGCAGGTTAAAACAGAGCAAGGAACAGAATGGGGAAGAGAGAAAATGCAAACCAGTTCAGAAGAAAGACAACCACAGTACAACCACGACCAACACAAAATTGTTAATTTATTGTTATTAGGAAGCAAAAAAAAAAGTACTATTACAAGATTCATTTCCCAACAAAGGTCAAAATATGAGCCAAAAATATATTTAAAAAAGGAATAAATGTCATTTTACAATTCATTAAATTAAAAAATTAAGAGTTCTCCTTGTGCAATTTGATGATGAAGAGGAGAAAAAAATAATATGCAATTATAAAGCCCCCTCCTCGAGGGGAGCAGCTCCATACAGGGCAGGGCCAGGCAACAGCAGGAAGGACTCTGCAGTCTCATGCCTGCCTATAGCTTAAGCTGGGTAAAGGCAGACATGGTCACATGTCTCCTGCAGTCAGCTGCCCTTCAAAATGGGGCAAACCCATGAAGCCCTCTAGTCCTTCCCACAATCCCCTTCCTGGATCCTGTTGTAGCTGCTGGAAATCCTGGGGGAGCCAAAAACAAATACAGGGCAGCAATAAGCTACACCAGCCTGCACCAACCTGTATAAGTCAAGTACATTCCCTTCTTCCTACCCCAGCCTACAGGTAGAAACATAAGCACCTTATTGTTCAGCAGGTTGCAAAGTACAATCGTCTCATACAACTGTGTATGTATGTGCACACAGCTGTATGTGAGAGAACAGGAACACTTTGCCTTCTGTTCATATATCTTATCCCAGAAGCAAAGCCTAACTTAACCTTGCTCTTAAAGACCTAGTTGTACCCCAGAGAAAGATCTAAAACTGAGCACTGCTCTCATCTTCTACCATTTTTGCTCTGAAATGCACACTGATGGGAGTTAAGAATCTGAGACAATCATCCACCAGCCTATGCCTTGTCCAAGCCTGTGGAGGGAAACTGTCCCTAAACCACTCTTCTCTCCTGCAAGCTGAACAATCTACAAAAATATCTTTGTACGGAAGGTCTAGGAACAGGGCCTTAACAGCTGGTGGCATTCCAAATCGGGTTTCTTTGGCAGGACATTAAACTCCAGGTCCAGATTCTGCCTTTACACACTTAAGGACTGTGTATGTCACACACTGTCAACTTTAGTTGAGGTGCGAAGCCCTTTCCTGCAGAAAGACTCCTCCAGGAAGGAAGGCTAGCAAGCAGGCTTGCATAGGGTGAAGATACTCAGCATACACCAGATTAAGGTCTGTGCAGGACAGTAGCAAGAGTTCTCAAGGAGCATGCTGAGTGAGAGGCTAAAGCTCATTTAGACAGAACATTATGCCCTGTTTGCTTGGAATTGGTCCTCGTCTCCCCGGATTCAAAGGATGGGGGAATGAGATGATACTCTGCCCTGAAGCCTCAGACCAGAAGACTGAACATGAAAACAATACTGCACTATGAGCCTTTCCTGGGGGCTCATCACCCATCTGTAACATGGAGCATCTTGGGGCAGCAGAGAAGGAAACAGAGTTGGCGGAGCCCTAGATTCCATCATAGAGGGAGAAGGGAGATTTAAAGAGAGGAAGTCTCTTGTAGGGAGGGTATTAAACCAAGCCATGCTCCACCCCAGCAGGGGCCCAACTGTCCTGGGGCTGCTTGTGATATTCCCAATACTGCATTTGGTCCTTCCCTGCTCCTTCCATTTGCCGCTGTCCCCTCGAGAGCTCACAGGCCCCATTTAGTAACAGCGTAATTGCTTAAATTAAAAAATTATAATATATATATACATATATATATATATACTGTACACACACCGACAACAACAGAACAGTGCCAAAACCAGAGTAAGGAGCAAGAAGGAGGAGAGGGCAGACAGTTTCTTTACAATAAAAACAGGAGTTCAATTTCAGCAGAGGAGGAGTCTGGGATCCCCTAAAAATACCCATCTAGGGAAAGGGAGGTGGGCGAGAGGGATGGAAAGAGCAGGAGATGGGGAAAAAAGTAAGGAGGAGGTGCATTTGGGCTTTTACAATGGCATCTTCCCAATCCAAGTCATGGCCAAAGGGATCTCAGCTTCGCCGGGACTTTGAGTGCTGAATAAGCCACTGTAGGGTGATGTCTGTGAAGTACAAGATAGAATTAACTATTGTCAGGTAAAAAGGTAGGACATACCAATCTGTCTGCAGGTTAGCTGGAGGTAACAGGTAGGGGACTAAAGACAGAGCATTTCCCAAATACCAGGCTGAGTTCATCACTCATTCCTGCAAGTCATGGCTGAAAATGTTCCTCCTGAGGACAAGGATGCACAGACTGGATTCTGTTCTCCATCCCATGGACTACAGGAATCCTTTTTGTCCCACCATTGAATGTACAGAGGGCATGAGGCTTAGGGACATTCACTGATATTTTGAAACCAGTTATGGTTATGAGTTATGTTGCTCATATCATGGCAGAATAACAGGACATCAAGCAGAATTAACTCAGTGGAAAACTAGGGGACATTTAAACTCCACTGTTACCCTTCATGTTTAAAAACCTCTGATCCTGTAAATCTCCTGCTTCTTTTCCATACTTACCAATGTTGTCCTTTTCTTTGCAAGAGATTGAATAGCAACAGATCTCTCGGTCCTGGATGGCAGAAAGATTCCTTTAGAAAAAACAGAAGCATGGGAGATGAGAATTCTGAGGGAGAAAACGGTGTGCAGGGAAAAATGATGCACACAAACAGGATATGTTTGTGGAATAAGCAAAGAGACAAGACCCCCTCCTCCCTGCCACTAAGACAAGAGAGTGAATATAGGTCTCCCTATGAATGATGAGACAGAACACTCATGCACCCTCCACCATCCCCCTGTCCCATATCTAGGCTCTTTAGAACTGCATGGACAAATCTTACTAGACGTGGCTGTCTCAAAAGTGCTTATGACATCTTCGGGTAATGGTGCTCTACAACACCTACTCCTTGCCTAGTCTTTCTATTAGGAAAGGAAGGGGTCAGAAAATTCCCATTTGTGGCTTGGCCTGCAAGGGCAGCCAAAAACTGTGAGGTCCTGTGGATAAAATCACCTCCTCTTGCAGTTTCCTCAGTGGTGAAAGGGGCTCGTTTTTGCAGAACGCTGATTAAAAAGGGCATTCAACTTCTCCAAATACTAATTCTACAGGACAAGAGGAGCGAGAGAAAAGTAGCTTGGTCCTCAAACTGGCTGTATAGGCTGTACAGGGAGAACCAAAGGGAAAGTCTATTCCTTCTCTTTCTTGACCCCTTCCAGTTTTCTAAATGGCCGACCCTCAACGAAATGTTGCTTTCTTGAACAGTATTTCCATTTTTGCCCATGACTGTCACCAAGGTCTTCGGTAGTGCTTCAGTTCAGTGGAACTGTCCACCCAGTCTCAGAGAAAAGAAACATGACAAATATAGCCTGCCTCTAGCACCACCATGTGGCACAAGCAGTATATGGCTAAATGTACTAAATACTGTACAAGTAACACTTGTTACCCCCCTTTTTCCCCCTTGACAGTGAAATCTGGAGGCCCTACTAACATTCAATTGTCTAGACAACATAAAGGGAGCACAGTCCTTGTAGCACCTTAACACAGACAGCAAAGGATAGTCTTCCCATCTGTCAGTTAGGTATTTATTTACATGATATATACAAGCATGCACAGCCTCATGATTGCCAGGACAAAATTCACCAAAAGACTACTAGTGTGTAAATCCTAGACGAACTCAGTAGTTTTTGTTGTTGTTTAGTCGTTTAGTCATGTCCGACTCTTCGTGACCCCATGGACCAGAGCACGCCAGGCCCTCCTGTCTTCCACTGCCTCCCAGAGTTGGGTCAAATTCATGTTGGTTGCTTCAATGACACTGTCCAGCCATCCCATCCTCTGTCGTCCCCTTCTCCTCTTGCCTTCACACTTTCCCAACATCAGGGTCTTTTCCAGGGAGTCTTCTCTTCTCACAAGTATTGGAGCCTCAGCTTCAGGATCTGTACTTCCAGTGAGCATTCAGGGTTGATTTCCTTCAAAATGGATAGGTTTGATCTCCTTGCAGTCCAGGGGACTCTCAAGAATCTCCTCCAGCACCAGAATTCAAAAGCATCAATTATTTAGCAGCCAGCCTTCTTTATGGTCCAGCTCTCACTTCCATACATCGCTACTGGAAATTGCTACTTGGTATTACCCCTCAACTAAGTGGGCAAGGATTGGATTCAAATCGGTAGATCTTTTTACCATGAACACAATACTGAACAAAATAAAAATAATATGCCAAGCACATCCAGCTACCAGTACTGCCATTTGCTCTTTATCATAAACTACTTTAGCTTCTACAGGGTCTTCAGGTCCCACGACAATGGTCTCCAACAGTATGCCAACACATAAATTGAATTCTCCGACCAAAGCTGAAAAATATCTGGTCTCCAACGGCCTCTCCTCTACCTGAGATACATTAATGGCATCTTTATCCACTAAACAGACTCATCTGAAGGAGGTCCAGAAATGGCTTAACTCCACTTGCCTTCTCCAACCTTAGTTCACCAGATGTTTGGACTTCTGCTTCCGGAATGCCCTGTAGCTAGCTATGCTGCCTAAGATTTCAGGAAGCTGGGGTCCAAAACAACTGAAGGACCACAGACTCAGAGCTCACTTTTAAAACCACTCAAACATACTATGAATGAACTACAATCCATCAGAATAGCTCTTCTCCCAGAAATTTTGAATGCTAGCCGTATCATTTAGAGGCCACCCAAATCTAAAATAACTACATACTCACCAGAATATTGGGTCACCTAGCACAAACTCAGACATAAGACACTGAAATAAACCCACATAATGATCAGACAGCACTCTTACAACCCCTAATCATATGAACCACATTATCAAATGTGTATTAACCTGCAAGCATAGTACACACCATGATCTGTCAACAGTGCCCTTCTCCTGTGTAACACAGAATAATCTAATGATTCTATAGACAAATATGACACTGAAAGAAAGGTTTATTTTGGCATGCTGAACCCAAGGGGAATCAAATACCTGCCCAGCTCAATTACAACAGCAAGTACTTACATCTTCTCAATGAGCTCCTTCTCATCCAAGGCTCCAGGCAGATCTCGCTTGTTTCCAAGAACTAGGACCTGAAGAAGAAGAAGAACCACCTCTATAACCATCTGGGGAAGCTCCATTGGTCAGTAAGGTAAATCCATACACTTTCAATGACACAGACACTCTCTGAATTCGGTAATCTCTTAGTACTCTAAGGGAGCACCTGCCAAGTGTGGAAAAGTCAGAAAAGTCTGCTCTATTCCTAGGCAGGAGGAGAAGCTTCCAAGAAGGATGTAGATACAATGCAAGTCTCTTTAATAATCCACCCTACAAATAAGAGCAGCCATGAACCTTGGGCAGGTCATCGATTATGGATGTCTGCATCTCTAACAAAAAGGAACAAAGCAGTACTTTGGACCTCAGCAGCAGGATCCTGTTAAGCAGGATTTCAGAGCTAAAGAGGAATTACCAGCAGCAGGCATAGCTAGCAAACTAGAGCATTGTCCTATTCCATAGTGAAATATACTTGGATTCCGTACAACAGTGAGCACCCTTATTTTATGCTGTTCTAGACTTATGATCTCAAACCCACAGAGGCCTTCTCAATAGTCCTATTCAGAAGCTCATCCTCATGCAAGTAGAAGCATAGAAGGGAAAGAACAGAGACAGGATAACTTCTGCAGCAGGCCTCCTCCTTACTGGATGGGCTTCTTAAATAATTTAGAATCTCAATTTTCTTGTGTAATTTAGAAGTTACAAGAGCAAGAAAAAGTTCTGTACTGCAAAAGTTGTTCCTCTAAGGCTATGAGTTTAGGTGATGGTGACGCAAGAGAATGGGCAGGAATGGGGAGCAAGGCCATGACCAAGGGAGCAGGGTCACAAGGCTCATCCTTGCTCCCTCTCTGTCACAGTTTTCTAACCACATGTAGGTTTATCTTCTGTAGAGGGCCAAAGGCTTGCATCTTTGAGAGGACAGTAAGTAGTTTAATATGATGGTGGTACCTGAGTCTTACATACAAAGCCGTATGTAGAAAACACTCTTTGCTGTATTTTTCCCAGGCATGAATAAAGGGAAGTTCAGAAAGGGGAAGCTTCCAGTTTTTTCATTGGTCCACAGCAAATGTGGGAAAGGAGCCATTATTCCTTTCCACTTGTAGCAGCTAGACAGAGAAGCATCTAGATAGGCAAAATGAATCTGCCCAAAGACCTTTCTTAAGAATTTGTTTCTATCAAAATAAGTGCTTTCAATGTGTTTTGCTCTGATGAAGTAAACAATAGATTAAAAGAACAATATCTTTTATTCTGCAGTAGTTTAATTTCTAATCAAGCACAAATCTTAAACACCACAAATTGATAACCATGCAAATTCAAGTGACAGATATGAACATATAGGCCAGAACCTTGTTTGTCTAGGTGTAATGATTTGAGAATCACTGTGTATAAAAAGCCTAATAAGTAGACAGACTTCCAACCTCACAACACGCAGCTCCAATGGACCTTAACAAGTCCCACCCACTCTCTCCCTTTGCTGCAGAGAACACGTTGGACCTCAGGTGTGAGTACTGAGGACCTAGATTTTTTTGGCTACAGCTGCCAGAATTCAGATGGGGCAAGTTTGTGGTGAATTGTAGGAGCTGTACTTAAAAAAAAAAAAAGAACTGAAAAATCCCATGCCTACACCCATACCAGTCTTTAAATCAACAAAGAAAAAATTAGTAAAATATACAGATTAAAGGTGAGTAATCAAAATTAATACCAGCTGCTTTCTATTGCAACTATTTCGCAGGTACCTACCCCTTCTTTGGGCCACTTCAGGTGCCTATTTATTGAGAAATAAAAGTTTGGGGTAGTTTGATTTTTTTTTTACATAACAAATGTACGCTTTTATGTAGGCTGTTTGCAGCACCCAGATCCTGTGAGGAAGGAGGAATAAAGATTGTAACTGTATAAATATAAATATACAGTTACAGTGGTGCCCCGCATAGCAACGATAATGCGTTCTGGAAAAATCGTCGCTATGTGGATTCGTTGCTATACGGAACCAAAAAGCCCATAGGAATGCATTAAAACACGTTTAATGCGTTCCTATGGGCTGTAAACTCACCGTTATGCGAAAATCCTCCATAGGGCCGCCATTTTTGCTGCCCGGTAAGCGAGGAATGGGCGCGAAAACACAGTGGGAGGCCATTTTGGAACCGGCGATCAGCTGTTCCAAAAACATCGCTATGTGAAAATCGGTAAGCGAAACAGCTTACCGATCATCGCAAAGCGATTTTTTACTACCTAAATCATCGCAATGCGATAGCTTTTACAATCGCAAAAAAGCCATCGCTATGCGGATTCGTCATTAAACGGGGCGCCCGTTATGTGGGGGACCACTCTATATATTTATATATTATGTACTTGTCGGCTCCTTCTACCTATTAAGATAATCAACAAGTTACTTGGCAGCAAGTTTTATTGCTATAGAAGCTGTTTAAATCTCAGCCAGGCTATCCTTTTGCCTGGCAAAGAAGCCTGAAAGAATGAGTCCTAATTTATAACAGCACAGAGTTGTTAAAAGCTACATGCGTGTGTATCTATCAAAGTCTCAGCACATGTGCACACATATACAGAATTTTATTTCCTGATTTCCCTCAAATCCATGTCACAACCTATGGATATGTCAAAAACTATTCTATTTATCATACAAAACTCAAGCCTGACTTCTCGGGATCCATCTGCAGGCACTACACAGTATTTTTATTTTCCAAATTAGATAGACCTTTCATCTCTCTATAATGCCTCTGTAGCCAATTAATCATGTTGCCTTCTAAATAATGACCTCTCCAAGCTTAAACATTTGTATCTTGGAATGAGACAACTCAACAATGCAAGGTGGCATAAGACCACACAAAACCAGAAGGATTTACTCCAGGATCAGGCCCGCAACATTTTCTACTAAGCAATCATTGCTACTTATAATACAGCAGCACATATTCAGATTTGTCTGCTTGCTCCATATCTCTTGGCCTCTCCAGAACTGGGTCAACTTACAGGAATGCCTTGGAGCTGTGGTTTATCAAGCAGGTTGTGAAGTTCATTCTTTGAGGCTTCAATCTTCTCCTGGTCTGCAGCATCTACCATGTATCTGGAATGACACAAGGACAGCAGTGAGCACTGAACTCAAGATGACAAAAACAGGAGCACAGAGCGGCCACAGCTCCTGAGGAAGAAAGCCAAATTATTTCTGCACACACCTGACCGGCCCCCAGCAGTCTACATGGTTTAAAGTCTCATTTACTGCCTGGTTTCATTTCCCAGTGACTAAGATTTAAAAACTGTACTTAAAAAAAATCACACTGTATAATTCATTGGATTAAAAACAGCTCACATTACAATAGTCACTCTTTTCCACTCATTTTGGCCCCAAACCTCACGAAGACCTGAAATGACGACACCACATGTTATTGCTACACTTCCATCAAATTTGAAGAAATCTATTCAGTTGAATAGATTGGAGAGTGGTGGAGCTGCGGATTAAACCGCAGAAGCCTCTGTGCTGCAAGGTCAGAAGACCAGCAGTCGTAAGATCAAATCTACGCAACAGAGTGAGCTCCTGTCGCTTGTCCCAGCTCCTGCCAACCTAGCAGTTCGAAAGCATGTAAATGAGAGCAGATAAATAGGTACCACCATGGTGGGAAGGTAACGGCATTCCGTGTCTAGTCGCACTGGCCACGTGACGATGGAAACTGTCTACGGACAAACGCTGGCTCTACGGCTTGGAGACGGGGGTGAGGACCGCGTCCTAGAGGCAGACACAACTGGACTAAATGTTAAGGGGAACCTTTACCTTTATTCAGTTGATACATTAACATGATGGCCATTGCATGTGTATTTGGGAACAATTTAACAACCTTTAAAGAACAATGGCAATGTCTATCATCAGGCCACTGGGGAAATAAGTGCAATTCTTACAAAAATGTGCAAAGCACAGAAAAGAGATCTGTAGGAGGAGCATTATTTCACAGATTTTACTAACCAACCCACCCACCCATGTTTAAATGCATGAGGATCAGGAAGAGGAAAGTGCTGTTCACATTACTTGATTCTGTGTTAGTGGCACATTCTGTATCTCTATACATTTAAATTCTTCAACACACTAACCGCCCGTTATCAGATTCCTAAACTGCAACTTCTGCTCATTACCTACACCTCTGCCATCCCTTATTACAGATTAAATTTAGACCTCAAAAATGACACCCATCCTGACATTCAATAAGAATTTCTCATATGCTCTTGGGCAATGCAGTTATTTGTTGCTGGTTCCTAGTGCGGATTTCATTCATCAGAGAGAAAACTACATTTATGTTGCATTATTCATTAGGCAAAATGTGCTAGGGTAGTTTGCCCAGAATTCCAACAAGCAGCAAAGATGGAATGCTGAGTGCTGATTTCCTACATCAAGTTATTTCATATTATAATAGGTACTGGTAACCATCTGAGGATCTAAGGAGCATTCAGTATTATACAGTTCTACAGATCAATGGAAGATAGAACATGCAGTGTCAGGGTTTCTAACTGAATCCAGGTCATGCTGCTTCTAAGAAAGATTTTGAGTAGTCAGGCACAATTGGGAACTGACCAGAACCTTATACAGAGGAAACAGAAAGCCCAGATGTCTAAAGAGATTAGAGACTACACTTTCAGTCTACATCTTAGCATTTTCCAACTCCTGCTGAATTATAGCTGTCCAGATGCAAGATGCAATATAACCCTGAGCTCAGCTTACATATTCTTTGCATGGGAAGGAGTCTAATCTTTTTTGACAACATTGTTTTGTAAACTCTCATGTATACATTAATGATACTACAAACATTACCTCAATAAAGTAATGGAGAGCCTTTTTTTTCTTTTGAAGGCAACATTTTCCCCTAAGGTAATATGTCAGAGGGCCACATGCTATATGGATAGGGCTACTGTCCCCACACCTGGCACAACGCTGCGAGTTACTGGGGAGGGACAGATGCTTTCTGCCGGAGACCAGACATAACTCATCAAGAGTCAACAGAGACTCCCCATAAAACTTTGCTGCACAACTAACTCCAACAGAAACATTCTTCCCATAAATCTGTTGCTCACTATACTCTCAGACCACATGTATGAACCTGTACATGTTCTGGGAATACACATCTGTAAGAGAGCTTTGAAACATGACAATAATACATCTTAACACAGACGAAGCTCACCAAATTATATTCACACCGAGTGATTGCATGTACTGCTTGAAATCTGTTGGGGGATCAGAAAGAACTGCATAAATGGTAAACAATAAGTAAACCAACTGACTAGATACAAAAATATATTTGCTTTATAGAGAAATATTAGCTCAAAGGAAGGAAATCTGGAAGGGTGGCAGGGTTCTAAGATACTGGCTTCTATTGCAAGACCTGGGTAAAACTAGCAAAGGTCTGGGGTTAAGCAACTGGAATGTAAAGTTTGCAATAAGGATAAGAAATCTTTTCTCAAAAGGAAGGCTGGTAGTGATTCAACAATACTTCAGGAGAGGGCCTTCAAAGACAAGCATCATCAGGCACAGATGGAGAGAGCAAACAAGTTCAGAATGATAAATAGGGCAAACGTGTGCCTCTTTCTGAAAGAGGGTTTTTTGGGTTTGTTTTTTTTTTTGGAATTTTGGGGGATGGCTTGCTCACTTCCCACACCACATCCTCATGCTGTGTTCATCTCTTCCTCAACTACCTCAAAGCTCCTTGACATCTTGCACAGTTGGCTAATTCTTCTTCATGGCCCTATTCAAGAGGCAACAAAGTGTCAAAGGACAAGAGAATGGCCAAGGAGTCCACCATTTTGGTTTTTCAAAAGGACTGAACACTGTGGGCTGATTGCTCTCTGATCTGCAGGAGTGGTTACAGGCACAATGAAAGCAAGATGGAGATGATTTCTCTGCATCAGTACATATTTTATATATAAAGGATATCTATGCCTATGAGCTGAGACAATATCTGTGGTTTTCAGTTGTACATGTCTACTTTTACATGCGTGTTTGGGAACTATACACTTGTCATTTCCTTGTCAGAGCCCCTCATTTAATGATCTGACCAGCAAGGATCTCCACTTACTGGTTGCCTTTTTCTCTGTTTGGGGCCTACGACATTCACAGTTGCCTCTCTTCTATCAGTTAGGTTTCTAGCAGTTCTCTACAACTGCTAGGACTCTGGAGAAAGATGCTTGTAGAGACAATAAAAACTGTATAAGAAAGAGCAGTGTGGTCAATAGTGCCCCATGGGGATCTCTGGCAAAGAACTGGCTCAGTAAAGATCTGCAGTCAAAGCTAGAATAAGAGTAAGATAACACGGGATTTGTTTATTTTATAAACCTAGAATAAAAATGAAACCAAATGAATTCAGACAGTACCCAGTGCTGTTCTACTCAAATCAGGTACAGAACCGGCACAACCATTGAATAATGCTTCATGTCAGAATTGTTCTGAGGGAGAATACCAAATAGCCAAAAAAACCCCACAACCAGATGATTCGCAGAGGAAAGGCAGCAATGTCGGGGATGAATTACATGTTATCATGAACATATGATAGGGCCCTATGCCAGAATCCTACTAAAGGTCACTTTCCTCCAGTTTCTCCTTCTGAATATGCTGTACCTCAGAATAAAAATGTTTTAAAACCACATGTTTATCAAAATGCATAGTTTGGCCCTCTAGTGACATACCTTAGGAAAAGTGAAAACATTAATATACTGTATGTAATTTCATATAGAAGTTCTTGGATTTTTCTTATATAGGAGTTAGTTTAATCGTTAAGCGAGGCACCACTGTACTTGGATTTTTCTTATATGGGAGTTAGTTTAATAAGGGCCAGATTTCTCAAACAAGTGAATAAAGTTAAAGTTGCAGTTTAAGGAGACTTTCTTAACAGCCACGTCAAGGGCCAATGATTTTCATAACACAATGATGGTTTTCACAAGCTGTATCTTCAGGTTCAGGGGGCTCAGCCGGAGCTGCTTTTAATTTTCAGGAAGCAGCCAAATGGTTCAAGTCATGTTGTTCACCTGTACCAGGTGCCTTAAATCAGCAAAGATAACAAGAATGAAAGAGTCATCAAGGACAAGAAATCTTTCGGTTACAGCATAGATGTCTGCAGCTGTCATTAAGAACCTGGCTTGGCCTACAATCAGTCTAAACTGAATGGGAGCCTGAAGAAGATTCCTCCTACTGCTTTCCACGCCTCTTAGAGGAGCATACAAACAACTCTTTGTATCAAAGTGGCCTGATGCAGAAATTGTGTATCACGTGTGACCCATGAGAGCAGCGCAGAAAACTGGCATCTAATGGCCATCACAAACTATACTGAAACTGACACCAAACCACTAAGGGCACTTACTGCGAGGGGGTATTGATAAGTATTGAGCCTTTCCCAGAAAAAGAAATTGAGCTAGGAAGCTGTAATCGCCACACTATTCTACATATTTCCCCAGGAAGTCAATGCACTTGTGACATCTGTCCTGCAGCTTCTTCAGTCCCTGCAAATAAAATTCTTCCAACTGCTGGTGTAACCACTCATTTGCAGCATTAGTTGCCTCCAGAACACTCCCAAATCGTTGTTCCTTTAGGTGTTTTTTGAGTTTGGGGAACAGATAATAGTCAAAAGGAGCGAGGTCAGGAAAATAAGGTGGATGGGGCATCCCTTTAAAGCCTAAGGAGGTAAGTTTTGCCATTATTTCACCTGCAGTGTGTGATGAGGCGTTGTTATGCAACAGGATGACACCTTTGGAGAGCTTTCCTTGAT